ATGAAAAATGGAGGAAGATGCCATGCCATTACTTCAGGCTCTCCTTCAAAAAGACGTGAGGTTTATGAAGACTCTCACTCCTTCCTTTGTAACCCAATGGTACCTGTCAGTCCACCTAAAGTAAGTATTGAAAGAACTGGATGAGTCACTGTATGGATAGGAATCAATAAGTGAATTTGCTCTTTTATAGTTTTCAAATTGTACCTATCCTAAGAGAACTAAGCATAGAAACACAATAAGAAAAGTATCATCTTAATCCAGTTAAAACACATGCCGATCAATACTGCCCACTTAATTGCACATAATTGCGCAATCACACAGTCAGTCAAATGACGTCATCAGTTTCTAATCTTGGTTATGTATTGTAGCAAGATTATGTACTTTTGATTGTAGTCTATAATAAAATTTCAATGTTTCCATTTATTTTAATCACAGGTTAATACTATGCATCGTATGTTCCTCATAGAGTCGTGTTTCTCATTATCATCAAAGGGAATTATTCATGAATGGTTTATAACACCTACACCTATCGTATCACACCACATAATCAGTGGTGGTACCACCACACTACCATCATAAATTAGTGGTGCCACTACCATATACATATATATGTATAGTTATGGATATAAATGTGCATACAGGCAAGAGTAATAGAGGCTGAGCTGTGCCAATAGATGGCGGCCAAATCAATATCGTTCTTTTCAAAATTGGAATCAAGTATAAAGGCAGCTTTGGCACCAGATGATCACAAAGAATTGAGGCTACTAGTGACAGGAAAGACAGGAGAAGGGAAGTCCACACTAGTTAATGGACTACTGGGTGCCAAGGTTGCTAAAGAGGGAGCTGGTACTGAGAGATGTACAACCAAAGTCACTGAGTACAAAAAAGAAGTTGAAGGTGTACCAGTCACAGTATTTGATTCACCAGGCCTGCAAGATACCACAGAAAATGAAGATTTATACCTAGAAGATATGAGGGAAAAATGTCAAAACCTCAGTTTAGTTCTTTATTGCACAAAAATGACCAACAACCGCTTAAAAGAAGAAGACAAACGTGCCATTCTAAAACTAACAGCTGCATTTGGGCAAAACTTCTGGAAGTATGCTGTTCTTGTTCTCACTTTTGCTAACACTGAAAATGTCACAAGACGCGATGAAAGAGATGAAGATGAAGGGTCTGAGCCTGATGATGATGATGAGGAGAGCTGGAAAGTTCTTGAAAAGAAAAGATTTGAAGGTCGTGTGAAGATATGGAAAGACAGCTTTCACAAGTTTTTCATAGAAGAGGTTGGAGTAAGGAAAGATATAGTTCAAAGGATCCTCGTGGTGCCAGTTGGAGATAGCAGAGTGTCACGTCATAACCGGGAGCCTTACCGTCTTCCTGATCGTAATGATTGGTTTATTGAATTCTGGATGGCTTGCTCCTTACGAGTTAGAGAAATGAATTTCTTTTATAAAATAACTAAAAACCGATTTATCAGACCCGCCGGCTCTCAAACCACACCAGACGAAAGTATTGATGCTGAAAACGATTTTGTTAAGGGAGTGGTGGCAATTTTAGCAAAAAACTATACTTTAGAGGAGTTAATTGAAGTATTCAATAATGAAGTCAGTATTACTTGTTGTTTTATATTAATTGACTTTTTTGATCATAGGAATCTCCTGTACAAGACAGCACACTGCAACTTTCAGATGCACCTAAAGTGGATGAGACATATACAGAAAAGCTTCAAGAAAATTTAAAGAAGATAGATAAGGAGAAATGGGTGAACGAGCAAGAGGAAATAAATAAAAGGGAGAAAGAAAAAAATGAGAGGGAAGCAGAAAAAAGAAGAGAAGAACTTGAAGGCGAAGCTAAGAGAGAAAGAGAAAAAAATGAAAGGGTAGCAGAGGAAAATAGAAGAGAAAGAGAAAGAGTACAACAGCTTGAGACAGTAAGTGTATAATACTTTTTACATTAATTTCAAATACATCAAGGATATTACTAATAGAAGAATTGCTCTTGATCAGCAGCATGCAACAATGCTAGCTAATGAGGCTTTTTCAAGGGCACATCCAACAATAATCTTGCCACCACCACGTCCGCCTCCATCTAACTGTGTGATTCTTTGACATTGTTATATTTTAGTTGATTGCAATTATTATTATAATAGCTGTTAGTGTATTTTTTGTAGCTAAACTAGCTATAGCTATTGACATCTAGCAGTACTTTTATGTTATAGCAGCTGTCGTATTGTTTTTGTCATTTAATTTTGTGTATGATTTGTTTATACCATTCATGATCAGTATAGCATAATGGGCCTGCATAAAAGTTCTCATAGCCAGGGAGTGAGAGAGATAGAGAATCAGAAGTAGCCTTTTTATGAGTATAGATACGTTATACATGCTACAGGTATCACTGACCCACATCTACATGTACTTCTAATCATGGTATAACTCTAACCTTTCATGGCAGAGATCACACCATCACACCATGTATCATTCATCAAAATGTCATTAAACATAGTCTACATTAAAAAGTCATAGCAGCTTATTTCATCAGAGTGGACTTGAATAACCTTTTGGGGAGGGAATGAACCACAGATATAATTATGAATGAAGCAACAGAATAACACAGTGTACATGTATTATAATATTATGTAGATATTATGTGTATAGCAGTTAGTAGTAGGTGTGGCTAGTAGATTAATAATGGAGTCTGATCTAAAGAGACATGCCGTTAAAGACAGGAATGGATCCAATTATTTGCGTGGGCGCAATCTGCGCATGCGCAGTACTGACTAAATTGTACTTCAATTTATAATGTTCATAACTCAAACAAAAATGTAAATAAGCAGTTCAAACATGAATAAATGCTTGTTTAGCCACACATTTGATTTCAGGTTACTCTGTTGAGTCTACAAGGAATAAGCAATATTAATAATAAATGTAAAAAGTACATGTATTTTGCATTAATGTTTACAAAGAACTTTGTAGCCTATTTTCATCTCTAAAAATAATTTGACAGGAATGTCATTCTACAGATAACAAAAACAAATTTTATACAGCAATAATAGTTTTTACTGACTTGGAAATATACTGGTGTCACATTAAGTAGTGCCAAGGGAAATAAAGAGTTGATAATATATCTAGTCTTGGGGAAATGTTATCTGTTTAACAGAGATAAGAAGTTAAAAATAAACCTTTCATTGCAAATGCCATACACATGGAGCTAGATATTTCTGTGGCCCAAAATTTCTGCTAATTATGCAGATTTCAAAAACTGTGAAAATTTAATCCTTTAAAATCAGTACACATTGAAAGGCATGGTGATTTTGCTAAAATAAAATCTGCAAAATTCACAGAAATTTTGGGCGATAGTAATTTCTAGCTACAATTAAAGAAATTCCTAGGTACAATTCTAAACATTAGTAGCATAATAAAATAAATCATTTCATGAATAATTATTCTATTAAGTACCAACGTCTCCAAATATAGCATCCAGAGTTTCGTCCACCACCATGAACAATACAGATAGCTTTTCGTGACATTCTAATTATCATAAAAATAGCATACATGTAAATTCAAAACTACAAAACTAACAGCTTTAATAGTCAGAAGTACTGTAAAAGTGGAATATGTCATTGCTTGCATTATTTAATGCATGAATAAAAAATTTACGAATTTAAAAACTATACTGACTTAAAAACTAATTATAGACCACTGGAAGTGAGAATTGGAAATGAATTTCATTAATTTTATATACGGTATCTGCCCACATGTCATAATTGGCTGTCATTTTCGTTGGAAAGTTTGTTAAGGAAGTCGGCAATGAATGCAAGAAGAAAATGCCTCACTTACCTGCTGTAGCTCTATTAAAAGCTAAAATGTGCTTGTTATAAGAAAAAAGATCTGCCTTTAAGCTTCTTCTCCAAAAGATGTGGTCCAATTTGCCCCAGAATTCTCAATACAGGTTTGTTTTCATGCCAGCCCGTTTGTTCTCCATTAAAAGTTGTCAACCAAAATGGCAGCTGAATTTATTTCATCCTAAACCACACCTTACAACCGTAAAAATTTCTAATAATCTTCCTATGTAATCAATTTTTACTGCTAGTGGTCTATAATTATACACAGCTTACAGCTCAACCTTGTACCTACTTGAGCTTCTTGTCTCCTACTACACGTGTAAGCAAAAACTCATGAGCAACCTCTTGTGATCCAATTCGCTGGCAAGGTATAAAATGCCTATAAAAAATAAATATATAAAATAGCAGACATTTACAATAAATTTATCGTGTACTTATCAATATCAAGCTCCACTATCCCAGTACAGGTCATAATGGGGCATAGTTGGGGTTTCAAATTAATTAATTAATCAAATCACTACCTCTGGGGCCGTTCCCTTCAGTCAAATCCCCTACTAAATTTAAGGAACGTTGAACAACCACTCAACTGCTACTGAACTCAGCTCTGCTGGGTAAACTTAGCATTTTTGAAACGTAACTTGGTCAAACTAGCAAAGTCTTCCTATAGGCTTGTTGGAAAAAAATCCCTACCCTGGGGCATTCTCAGAGTGATGAACCTCCTATTAAATCCCTCATATTCCCCATAATGAGGCTTAAATTGACAGACATATTACTTACAGTTCTGAAATGAGTAATTGTGGTGGAAGGAACAAATGATAACCCAGGAAAGACTAAAAAGCCCATTTCCTCACACAAGCGGAATAATTAGAAGATACATTCTATATATAGGTGATTACAATAGTCACAGTATATAAAAAGGCATAATTTATAGCAGTCTGAGAATAAATTACCTAGTGCAAGGTTCTATTAGTCTAACCAGTGATCCAACTCATGCAAACAACTAGCAAAAAGGCCTGGAACCACAAAGACAGCACTAGAAATATGAAAAACACTCAATTGGTGGCAGCCATTTTATGGAGAAAGAAGAACTTGTTCTTTTTGAACCAAAGAAGACGACAAAGAAATCTAAAAAGGTTTTTAAACTTATTGTATAAATTTTGATGTGATTATAATAATTTTAGGATGTTAAAGAAGCTCCTAAAGCCACTGCCCCTCCCCCTGGATTTGGTATACGCCCACCACAGACCACCTCTACTCATAAAAGAAGTGAAACGACTAAAAAGGAGGGAGGGGCTTCAAAGACTAAGTTTGTTCCTTTGCTAAGTGCTGAGGGTGAGTCCCAGTTGAGTATAAAGTTCCCTGGGAGGTTTTTATGTCAGTGTCTCGGACAGAAACACGAGCTGATTAATAATTGCTTGGAATGTGGAAGAATAGTTTGTTCACAAGTTAGTGATAGCATGAAATATTAATAATAAATGTAAGCTAGAGATATTAATAATAATGATAGTAATAATTATTATAAATATACATGTAATACAATTATTATGTAAATTCAGATTGACATACATGTACTTGATGAAAAATAATATATTGTTTAAAGCCTATGTATTTAATATTAATGTTTTAAGTAAAAATTGATTTTGCAACAACAGAATAAAGTTACACAGTTTGATAGTTAAATGGAAACTTTTCATTACTTATTGATGTTTACCTGTATACTTGATATTATTATAGGAGGGACCAGGTCCTTGCCTGTTCTGTGGTAATGTTGTGTTCACCAAACAAGAAGAGAAGCTGTTACAGCCTGATTCACACAGAGGAGA